CCCTTACCCTTAACCCTTACCGTTACCGTTACCTTACCTTCCTTCCTTCCTCCTTCCTCCTCCTACCTCCTACCCTACCCTACCTACCTCCTACCTCTCTCTCTCTCTCTCTCTCTCTCTCTCTCTCTCTCTCTCTCTCTCTTCTCTTGTCCTCTCACTCACACCCCCACCCTCTCCAACCTCTCTCTCTCTCAACAGTAAATGAGCACGATGAAGAATCTCTTTCTAGTGTGCAGCAAAAAAAAAATGACCAGAATGGGTACCTCTATATCTTTCTCTAAACCCAACAAAGAATTGGGTATGTGGATCATCCCTCCCTCCTCCCAAAAAATAAACTAAATAAATTATATAGACCAATATTGTGTGAGAAAGATTGTAGGAAGGGGACGAGGAATTAAGGAAGTATTCAATTTTGGAATACGCTACTCCTTTTGACCACTACAACACATTTCCCTCGTGGGACGGATGGAACTTCCGAAACATTGATTTGATTGATTTTTATTTTTTTTGGACGGAAAAATTGAATCAAGATGCCTGTACCAACTGGATTGAATGGAGTGGATAGAATTGATGCCTGTACCAACTGGATTGAAAGTGGATAGAATTGATTGACATTCAGAATATATAAAAAGATAATAGGGAGGTTCCCTGTGCCTCGCTTCTGCTGCATTGCCTGCTGATTCCCTCTGCAATTCGGGTGATTAAGAAGCGGAGAATTGCGTCCAAAAAAGGGTTCAAAAGCAGCTGATTCAACGATAATGATTGAGGAATACAAATCCAACCAAAAACTTCTATTGGTAAATGCTACTTTTTGTATAGCCTTCATCCTAGAACAATGAAGATTCATTATGCAAATGTCTCAAACATTCTTAGTCAATCCTAAAGATTCATAATCAAATTTTTGAGCTGCAGTTCAGACAAGATTTGAGGCCTGAAACCATCCAAATTAGGAAAAACCAAGAGATGGTAGTCGTAGATCTCAGAGAAACCTTCAATTTGAAATTTTAAGTCGCCTCAAAAAGAAAGACATCCAAGTGAAAAGTTATGACTTCAAAAAGGAGGAGGCATACTAAAGTCTGCATGTGAACAAAAAGAGGAATCCATGAAAGAGAAACAGAACTAAACAAAGAACTCCAATTATAGACTGTATAAACTCCACAAGAAATTGGAGAATGGAAAAGACGCAACTCCACAAATCAGAATGGAATGAAGCAAGATCTGATCAATACCAAAACTCAAAGGATAGTGTACCCTTTGCCCTATCCCACATGTGACACAAGAAAGAGATACTTCATAAAGTAAAATTAAAGTTCAAAATACAGATAATAGTTGCTTAAATCCCTTCAATCATGGACAGTGTTAATTAAGGAATAGCATATAGCATGTCAATATAAACACAATCTGGTGTTGTTTGCTGAGATACAATATAAACACAAGCTTTATGATTCAAGACCATGTTATGATATGTAAGAGTTCCATTGTAGCACATGCTGAAGCAACACCAGCATAAATTAATTAATACCAACAAACACGTGAAAGAAAGGGTTATACCATTGCCTGGTTGTTGCCGGTAAAGCCACAAAATAGCACTGCAGAGAGAAATAGCAAACAGAGAAGTTAGGGACAATGCAAGTAAAATTAGTCTTAAGGAATATCTACCTGATGCTTGCCAACCAAACTCAAACATGTAGATTTTTAGAGTGACATTTCAAAAGGAATAACGAGGATGGGGTTTCTATGAGTCAACTGACTCATACTAAACACATGCGGGCCTCCCATTAAACCATCTTAAAAATGGATTATTGATCTAAAATTTTAGGGATTCATGATCTAGGTTAGGATGATCGTGAACATGAAAAATAAAATTTATATCTAAAATGTGATATTTTTGAAAAAAAAAAAAATTTCTCCACCGTATAAGCCCTGTGAGTTTTCTACAGCGTCCATCTTAAAGAGTGACGTTGCTGACTCAAAGGCCTCTTGCACCCGCTGACTCGTGAACAACTTTTCCTAATGAGTAAGGTGAACAAAAGAAATCCAAAATGAAAAGGTGCCAATGGGACTTAATAACAGTGAAACTGCTTCGGTTATTTTTCTGCAATTATGGAAACAACTCATCTCGTTTCAAGTTGACCAAAATAACTATCCAACAAGGCATGGGAAGGATAGTTTGAAACACAAAGGTGAATTCATTCAATTGAAAACTATAACTACACCATCTTTCCCATTATCCGATAGTAGGCGGCTCTCACAAGCTTCAAGCTGACACTTTTTAGCCCATTTTACATTGTTCAATATCTTGGGGAAGAAGAAAACTATTAATACATGTTTCTTTAAATACCACATTTGCTAGTCATTAACCAACTATTAGATCCCTGGTAATGAAAACTTCTTATAAACAACTGCATCAATTGGTAATGGTAACTGATCTTTTGCTAAATCATTGGCTGAAAATCATCTCCATTTTCAATCGCAAACATTAACCAATGAAACATAAAAAGGGTCCATATATTATGACACGTCTTGGAAATAGTATGGACATAGGATTAGCATCATTCCATCAATGAGTTGGAAGTGGAATGTGATGACGTGAAAGTAGTCCGTGAAATAATGAAATATTTGGTAGGACCCACTCTCCAACCATCACCATTCAAACTAATAGTGTGACAATGATAGCTCTCTATGACCATACTATCTCCCAAGTGATTTTGTCATCGAGTCATTCTTATCCTTGAACCCAGCTCCTTTTGCCTTTGTTCTCACTTCTAGCAAATAATGCATCATCAAAGGAGGTATGATCCGTGTTAGAAGCAATCAAGTACTATGCATGATCCACGACCTATAGCCAAAAAGTATTAGATGGAAGTTACGTGTGAAAAAAAAAAAGATAACATGGTTAGGTTATGAAAATGATAGAAACCAAATATAAAATCTATCTAAATTTTAGAAACCAATATAGTATCCCATAGGAAGTAAAATCAAAAAGGAAAGATAATTTGAAGTATGAAAGAGAAACAGAAAGTTTAGCAAGAGAGAGACCCAATGTATAAGAAATCATTACATATGAGAAAGCGTAGAAGGCAATTAGGTAACACCAATGAAACCTACCATAGAGAGAGAGAGAGAGATAACATGGGAGAAAAAGAAACGACTTGAAACCATATTGTATATGATAGGATAGCTTAAAGAGAGATTTATGGAGAGAGATTACATGGTTATTGGTGGAAGGAAGAGAGATTATCTAGGAAAGAATATGATGATAATGATTCAACAGAGAAGATTTAATAAATTTAACAACAACCAAGGTTCAGAAGAGCATTCTATGGAAGGAAAAACTGAACTAACACCAAACATAAGAATTGCGAGAAATTAGTTTTTACTGTCAGGCTTAGTATAGATATAAAATGTCTTTATGCAAAATATTATTCCTACACTAGATCTGATGGACAGGTCAGATTCAAGAGGATCCAACACAGTGAGCTCGTCTTGTAGCAGTAAAGATAACAGTTATCAGCTGTACCAATCCTAATGTAAGAAGGGATCTTAAGCTCAATATGGTCACATACTTATCTCTAAGAGCACCTATCGAAGTAATCTCAGTCATTACCATCATTACCATTAGAGCCTTTTCCAAACTATTTGGGATCGACTATGAAAATTCTGGTCCACCATCCTGCTCAATTAAGGACCATACCCTCAGTGAGGCCATAAGCTCCCAGATCTTTTCTAACTACTTCCAACCATGTCCTTTTGGAGCAAAAGTAACCTAAGTCAATGCACTAAATTACTTTTGCAAACAAAGGTGCACAAAGCACCTTGGGCATTCGAAACCAAGAAGATGATCAAGGTTGCATGAACCCAGTCACACTCAAAGGGGGACTATTATTAAATATCAAAACAAGAGTACAAAGCAACACAAAATACTAGACACTCAATTTACTAGTTCCCTACCTGCTCAAATAATACCATCTAAAAATAGATCTAAGAAAATGAAGCACAATATTCATGAACAAGATGGGGACCCTGTCTATAAACCATATAATAGAGCCATATAAATGTATCAGAGAACAAATACCATCAATTAAAAATCATAAATAACATATACCATAAAGGGACAAAATAACCCCTCAAAAGGTGACAAAATGCGATCTACACCATCTAGCAATAAATTCAACAACAAGAGGAACAATAAACAATACCTTGATGCTTGCTCATAACTAAAGAACTTCACAGCTGAGTTTGGAACAATTCGTGCACAATTAGTTCCATTTCCTTTAAAGAGCCCTCGAAAACCTTCAGTTTGCCATATATATTTCAAGCCTTGAATTGTCCCATTGTATTTGATGTTGTGAGGATTCTGAACCTGTTAATACCACACCACACAACCATGTTAACCACAAAATTAAATTTAAAAACAATAGTGACAACAGAGAAATGTGCCCTCCTACATATATCCAGATTTCTCATTGACAACAAGAACATGACTTATTAGATTATGTTTCTACATATATCAGTTTTGTCAAAAACACTTCCCAAGAATCCAGTATTTAGTGCAAACATTTTATACATGTTGGTAATGTCATTTTGTTAAAGATACTGGCAAGAGCACTACCCTACCTCATGATATTGTACAAAGACTGATTACAAATTATTAATCCATGTAATGACAAAGTAAGTCTTTTAATATGCTAAATCAATGTTGAATAGTCAAATGCAACATGCAGGAAGTCAAAGAAATCAATGACTAGTCTAGCCTTTGACTGCTGGAAATTGAAAATACCCATTTCTGTTAACAAATATAAGACAAGCCAACACATGCACAGACTGGAGTGTAAGTGCATGCAGAGGAAGTGTAACTGCATGGAGAGGAAAGGTAAGAAAGAACAAGGGAAAGTCCATGTTTAGGAAGATCGGCTTGGGAAGCAACTGTGGAATAAGAAGCAGGATCCAACCCTGGTTACAAGGTTCCTACAACTAAGGTTCAAGCCTTTAAAAACGCATGGTATATACCCATTCTTCCATTCTTTGGCATCAACACCCCATCAGAAGGCTATTTCCTAGGTTTCGCCGAGCCATGCCGTGCCGAGACCAGCCGAGCTTGGGTATGTTCAAGCTTGGCTTGCATGGCCAAGGACAACCACGAGTGTGGCCTTAGTTGACTCAATATTGAACCACCCAATTTTGAGATTGGGTGGATGCGCTTGTGTACTTAAACAAGTCCATAACAAGCACATAAATTACCTGAGTCAAGCCATAAACAACCTAGCACAAACCTGAAACAAGGCAACATACGATAGTCTCTATATTATATGATATGAGGTCAAGATATATATATGTATGTGGGTGTGGGTGTGGGTGTTGGTGTGGGTGTGGGTGTGGGTGTGGGTGTGGGTGTGGGTGTGGGTGTGGGTGTGGGTGTGGGTGTGGGTGGGGAAGGAATACTTGACTACACGCCTAAGTTAATTTCCACAGCATTAGCTTACAGCCGAGAATCTCCTAATTAAAAAAAAAACACTATCTACACGAGTTTGTTTGACTCCAAATTTTGCACACACATTCTTTTGAACCCAAAGAACAATAAAAATAAAATAAAATAATAAAAATAAAAATAAAAAAACGAGGCAGCAAAAAAACCAAAAAAAAAAGACCTACAAATCGGATTTCTTTAGGAGAGAAAATTCAATGGTTATCAGCCACTCATTTAGGATACAAGGCTTTAATAACTCAAAATCAATCCTTTTGCTCTTAATTGTTTATCTAGTGTTGATGAGAACATCAACAACATTTCGGGTAACAGAAATGCCCCAATGGCCCCAATCTAATCCCATTTTTTCTTTCACGAAACAGACAGCCTATATTGACTGCATTATCTCTCCCCTCAATAAAAACTGGAAGGTTTTTTCAGATTTTTCATGAGCCTGTTCATTGGGATAAGGGTCATCTAAAATATTTTGGTTTTTTCCCATGAGCTAATGGCGTAGAAATTAGCTTAGCTACGTAAGTCCATCCATCCATCTCTCTCTCTCTCTCTCTCTCTCTCCACATATATATCTAATTATACTATACTATATATATATATATATATATATATATATATATATATGATTTTGTTAGTCCCGAGGAATGATGCAATAGTATACGAGGCCGATCAAATGGCCACAATCGTGTTTCATCTTTTGAGTTTTTATTTTTTTCTACAAATCCAAATCACTTGATATTTGGAGCATCTATTCTTAACACACCTAATAAAAATATTTGCGAAATAATTCATCAAAAATAAGTTGATGTATTTTGGTCACTTTCCATTTTTTTATATTTTTATTAGGTGCACTTTAATATGTAGAGTGGACGCTCCAAATTTCAAGTGATTTGGATTTGTAGAAAATGATTAAAACTCAAATACAAAATGCTATCATAACCATTATATTGGCCCAGATTTAAATCTGGACCGCTCGGCATATACTATTGCATCAGCCCTTGTTCATATAAAAGTTACTCCATATATATATATAGATATACATGTGTGTGCTTGTGTGTGTGTCTATATGTGCGTGTGTGTGTGTATATATATATAATTATTTGGGTGTGTGTGTATATATATAGAATTATGTGTGTGTGTTTGTGTATATAAATGAGAACGATTTCATGCAAATGTTTTATACATAGTTGTCAGAAACACTTGGGAACCCGAATCGTTTTATGAACCAGATTCGCGACCGGCTAGAAGATTCCTATCTTAGGAATTGTTGTCCATACAATAGGAATCGCTAAGAACGAGATTCCTAGTTTTTGAGAATCGTGTTTCAACAGCAATAGATCGAAGTTGCATCTACATATGGAATCGAGATTCCGTCCTCCTTGGATTCCCATTCGCCCGAAATCAACACTCCAGGAATCAAGATTCATTAATATGCGGAATCGAGTTTTCGACATCTATGGAATCGAGTTTGACATATGTGGAATAGAGATATGTTATTGTTTTGAATTGCGATTATAACATATTTGGAATCAAGCTTCTGAAGCATATGGATCAGAGATCCATGCCAATTTGAGATTGAGATTTACGAATTACAATAATATGGACTATGGAATGCGTTTGATGACCCCTACCAAGACTCGAGCTTTCATTTTTATGAAGAAGGAAGCCACAAGCACATCTTGAACCTCATCAACTTTAGATTCTATATTGGATGTCTCTTATTAGAAGGTTTCCCAAATTTTACAGTAAATGTGTTGACAATTGACCTTACAGTCATTATATACAAAAGACAAGTATTTCTAAATTGTGATTTTGACTTCATTATTATAAAGACAAAATAGGATTATGTCTACGCCATGGCTTTACTTTTAATTGTATGTGTTGTATTTACCGATTATATTTTAAATTTAAAGTAAAGGCCATCCAAGGTGGCACAAGTAAAATAATGAAACTCTACAACTACTAAAAGCCTTCGAAGGAAGATTTCTACTCCAATTGACGTGGAATCAAGATTTAATCCTTGTTGAAAACCATATGCGATATATTTGGGAACATCTACACACAATTAATGGGTTCAAGTTTCTAAAGATGTGTTGGATCGACATTACAAAATTAAGGAATCGAGTTTCCTTGATTCTAGATAAATGGTTTCTAAAAATGTTTTGAATCGAGATTCCGAAATTAAAGAATCAAGTTTCCTTGGTTCCAAAAAATGGTTTATAAAAATGTGTCGAATCGAGATTCTGAAATTAAGGAATCGAGTTTCCTTTTCCGAAAAACGGTTTCCGTGGAGATTCCATAATAGAAACACGAAATCAGGTTTCGGAACCACAAACGCGAGGTCGGTGGAGAGATTCTGGTAACTATGGTTTTATAACAATATAATGAAATAAGCCTTCAAAAACCATTCTTTTACTCCAATTTTTAAACCTACACTCTTTTCATTCGAATGAACAATCTCAAAAAACAAAATTTCGAAAAAAAAAACCCTAAAAAGTGATTTCTTAACCCAATGAACATAGGCCCTCCATTTTATGGGATGATTACATCTAGGCCTTACAGGGATTTTTTTTGTCCCAAATTTTGTAGGCCATCTTATCATCATTGGTTGAATAATTTTGAAAAATAAAAAAAGAATTTGTGTTCTTAAAGGCCTCGTCTAAATGTCCATCAAATGGACGATATGGCCTTTATAGGTGGAGGACTCGTTTTGACCTTTCTAAGGTACAACTACAAATTTTTTTCTTTTTGGAATTGTTTATGGGAATGAGGAGAACACATATGCATAATTTGGGTATTGCCACAAACATGGTTTTCTAAAAGAGTCGTTTCATTATATTATAATGAAACGACAACATGAAATCACAGGCTGACTCACCCATTTAGCTGGCTTGGCTTGTTAAAACCCCCATCATTTTCAAACCCTAATGGGCCCTCCCTTTTGAATGCTTTCCCATTATTATAGCAGCTCCTCTACCTTTTTCTTTTTCCTTTTTTTTTTTTTGATAATGTTAACTTTTGTATTAAAGAAAGGAAAGCAAATACAATGGTCCAGGGAGAGCGCCCACATACCGGCCTCTCGGCAAAAAATGAGGTATCCTCGATGAAGAGGTCCTATACAAAACATTGGAGGGTCTTATAACAATGCTCTATACAACAATGTACAAAAAAGGTAAAAACAGGGGTTCGAGAGGAAGGTGATAACTCAAAAAACCCGATGTACAAAAAGAAGGCTGCGGCCTTGTAAGCTAGGGTCCCAAGAACTTCTAAGTGACCACAACCTGTGCAATAGCTCCCTCCTTAGCTAGCTGGTTCACCAGGCCGTTTGATTCCCTCCAATATGCGTCCATGAGATGGTTGTATCCCTGCACTCATCATAAATAGAAGCTTAGCAAGGCCGACAACCCAAGTAACAATATTACAAGCATCTCCTTCCACTAAAAGAGGTTGACCCCACTCAGGGTCAAACATTTTGAGGCCCGTGAGCAATGCCTAGGACTCAGTGAGTTGTGAGTCTGCATGGCCAATGTGTTTGGAGAAAGAGCCTAGAATGTTCCCTTGGTGATCTCTGAAGACCCCTCCAATGCCTGAAGGGTCAGGATTCCCAAGGGAACACCCGTCAAAATTGAACTTGACAGAACCAAGCGGTGGAGAGGACCAGCAGCCAGCTCGAGTAGGCCGATAATGTTGAACAAGGAGAACTTGCTGTTAATTAAGTTGGAAGGAGGAAGTAGAGATGTCCTGAAAGGCCTTGTGGTTTGAGGCCCAAAAGATCACAAGGGTGTGAATCTTGTGGAATAGGGCTCAGGCTTCGCTCTTGACTCCTCAGAAAATCCTTGAATTCCTTTTCATCCAAAGGACCCAAATTGTGGCCGCTATGGACGCCTTCCTTAGGAGCCTACCTGCTTTGGGCCAAGAAGAATCCTCAGCGAATTTGGAAAGGCCTGGAATGGAGGCTGGCATTACCCAGGTCAAACCAAAGAGCCGCATGAGCCTGCTCCATAGGTTATCCGCCAAGTTGCAGTGAACGAAGAGGTGGGGGTTGTTCTCTTCTTTGTAGAGGCACATAACGCATTGGTTCAGGATTGGAATCCCCCTGTGTTGAAGTTGATACACTGTTAGTGCTCTTTCAGAACCTGCAATCCAATTGAAGGCTTGCACTTTCGAAGGTGCTATTGAAGACCAAACCTTTGATACCACAGAGTTAGGGTGGGAAGGTGGTTGAAGAAAGTGTTGTAAAAGGAAGAAACAGTGAAGGAGCCTGATGGAACAAGGGTCCAAATGATATTATCCGGCTAGAGAGGGAAACAAAGTATCATCCAACAAGGCAGAGAGGGAGATAAATTCAAGGAGTTTGGCATCAGAGAGTGAACGTCTAAAAGATGGGTTCCAAACCCTAGTGGCCTGGTACAGCCAGGTGCTAGGATTTCTTCGGCAATCCAAGAAGAAGGATTGGTGGCAAGAGAGAACAAGGAGGGGCCCAACGAATGGTCGGACCAAAAGTGAATGCTACTGCCTACCCTCGATTGAAACCGAATGTATTGTTTGAATTTAGAGAGAACCGACAGGAAGGATTTCCAGGCCCCAGAAGTCCTACTTAGTGTTCTTCCCTCCAGAAGCCAAGCATCAGTGGGGATTCTATACTTGCAACGAAGCACATGTTCTATTTCCTGAGGAGGCGAACCCCTAAACCTTCCTGCTGCTTGGGTTGGCAAACTCTCTCCCATGCAATGAGGTGGATCTTTTCAGACTCAAATTCCCCAGACCAGAGGAAGTTCCTCAATTGTTCCAAGCGATTAGCTACCGCCGTAGGCATATGAAAAAGAGATATAAGATAGACGAGAGTGTTGGACAGGGTTGCCCTTATAAGGGCTTTTCTACCCACAAAAGACATGAACTTGCTTTCCATCCGGCTAACCAACTCTGTCTAAGACATTAGACTATTGTCTCTTCTTGGGTTGACCAATACCCACAGGCATCCCCAGATAACTAGTGGGAAGATCCTCCACTTTACACTTCCAATCTGGAATCAGGGCTCTGGTTTCCGTAGGTGAGACTGCGACCCCTATCATTGTGGACTTCTCCATATTAACGTTGAATCTTGTGGCGTACTCAAACCACCTAAGTAAAATTTGGAGGCACTCAATATCCTCCAGGGTGGCATCAATAAACACCAGAGTGTGGTCGGCGTAATGCAAGTGGGAAACCATGGGGCCGCTAGTACTGCTTTTGAACCCAGTTCAGAGGCCTGAGTTGTACAATCGAGAGATCAATTCGCTAAAAACTTCCTCTATGATAGCGAACAAAAGGGCACAAGGGGTCTTCTTGGCAAAGACCCCTAGAGGAGGAAAAGAAACCCTTAGGTGATCCGTTTATTAGAATTGAGAAATGTGGGTTAGAGTAGCAACCCCTCATCCACTTCCTCTAGTAGTTCCCAAACCCCATTCTAGCCATTGTTTCTTCCAAGAGAGACCAATCTACATGGTCGTAGGCCTTTTCCCAATAGATCTTAAAGATGAGACCCAGTTTTTTCTCCAAGTGCCTAGAATGTAAGCACTCATGTGCTATCAGAAACCCATCACTACTATTGAATATTCATGAATTAATATTTCATACTTAAATAATTTTCTACCTCTACACTCCTAACGCCATTCTAAAAATTCAATTATCATTCTTACTAGGGAATCCCCCAAAAGATCATGAATGGCCAGAATTGCCAAAGGAGCACCACTTTAGGATAGGGAAGTTGTCAATAAGCTAATAAACCTAGCAGGTAATTAACTCTGACAAAAATCCCAAAAGCGAATCAGTAAGTACCAAATACTCAAAATTTGTATATGTAGATTTTCAGAAGATTTTTTTTATTTTCAAGGAAGAAAAAAAAGGAAATTTTGATTTTCAATTCTGAAGCAGGTAGGTAAATTAGAAAGTTTTAAGAATGTAAATAGAGCAACAAAGACCAAAACAACAAAAGGTCCTTAGTCTAAACCTCATAGAAGGAAGCAAAGGATCAACTATAAATGCTTTCATTCGGTTGAACCGCCATAGGTACGATCTTAGGGTACAATTTTGCTTTGAATAGCATGGATCCTATCAGAGCAGTCTAGATTATTTTGTGATTCATGTCGTAGATTCATCCACAACGCAACTAAACTACAAAAGAACTATAACACTGCTCATGAAACAATTGCACCGAATCCAACTGAATGACATTTGAACAATAAGACAATAGATGAGAGCGGCAAAATAACAAAGAGGGTACAATGTTTTGTATTGGCCAAAGGAAGCGAGCTGTGGCACCTGCAAGAGAATTTTCAACCTTTCCAGTGGTGCAACAGCAGTGCGGGACCTGCAATAGAAGAATTTATAAAGAAAATATTTCACTAAGAAGATAAGAAGTAAAAACTTACATCAAATATCATCCAACGAAACACATCAAAACAGAAAAAGGACAAAGTCATACATAGCATTCTACAATTCGTATTCCAATAACCAATAACAGTTTTGAAAACACCAGCGGGTGTGGAGTTGCTAAAAAGTAGTGCCTAAAGCACAATACATGGAAACAAACGAAAGACAGTACGCTAACATTTAAGAAACAAAACGAGACACAAAGTAAGAAAACCCAGCAGAAATAAAACGGTAAGCGATCATTAAAAAGTAGCAGCATAGGGTGCACGATCAATGGCCTAAAATGGTGTTCTTCAAAATTCAAACCATAAATACTAAGGCATAGCAAAACCTAACTCCAAACGGATCACAAATAAGAACACCCTACAAATACAAGTTGGCTATACTAACTTCTCTCAAACAACCAAAACATTGACCACCTAATATTCAGAGAGAGAGTGAGAGATATTAACTGCCAAATGTCGTGAGCGTGTTTTCCATAGGGTTCAAGGAAGCAAAATGATCAATCAAACCCAAGCTAACAACCAAAAATATAAAGCACACAATCCATAGAGAATATGAATTTGATTTGACAAAGAACAAGAAGAGCGAGAGAGAGAGAGAGTGAGAGAAGAAGAAGAAGAATGACTGACACTCCTCCCGCAACTCCCCCAGCAACAAGAGATTTGCAGATACTGAGAATGGCATGTCCAGGAGCCTTCACCCCCTCACTCGCCTCCTCCGCCAGGTTCACAAATGTGGTCACCGCCGATTCCTTGCTCTGGAACCCTACCGTTGTATTGCTCCCGCTCCTCCCAACGACATCCTCAGAAGCCATAAAAAACCCCAAACCCTAGAAGAAAGAATAAAAAGCTATTCTGCAACTCCTAAAGCGCAAGAAAAGCGAGGAACTAGGGTTTATGTTGAAGGAAAGGGATTCTTATCTGCGACAACAAGTTCGTATTTCCTTATTCTCTCTCTCTCTCTCTAAACTTAAACACTTTCCTGTGTTCAAATATGGAAAGTGGGGGCGTTGCGGCGAGATAGGCAGAGATACGACCGCCGGCGGGGACTCCCACTACATCGGAAGGACGCCTTTACGGATTCTTTATAGCAGTAAAATTACTAAAATACCCTGAAATTAAAGAAGAATTAATGGAACCACCCGTTCCTCATCGATAAAGAAATTGCCCTTACCTCTCCGGGAAATTTCCGGATTCTGCCATAGTTAACAAAACCCCACCACCAAGAACGAAAACGCTATTGACTTCTATGCTTTTCGTTGTAAATTGGTTCGTAGTGATCCACAAGAAGTGGCCCTAATGTTCCCACTTTTCCTTTTCTAGGTGAAACCCATTGATGTTCGGAGATTTTGGAAAATTCAGGGGTTTGGACCAAGAATTTTGCCCAAACAATTGGATAAAATTGAAAATAGATGGCAACTCCCTTTCATCCCAAAAACTCACCTGCTCTAGAGAGGGAAAGAATCGGCCATGTCCCCTTGATGGGAATCGGGTTCCATTCATACGGGAAAATGCTGCAATTGAAACCACCTGTCAATCCTCCCCATCTGTGGGTCCAAAAATTCATGAACTAATTTGACAAAATTTCATAAAGCACACATTTATGTTTTTTTATTTTGATTGTATACTATGATACCATTTATGTTTTGATACAAGCAAAATGCAGTGTGTTGTATATATATTTTAGAAACAAAGTATTATTATTATTTATATAATAAAAATTATTAATTCAAATTCATAGCCCAAACTCAAAAAATTCTAATTTGAGAGAAAAGCCTATGTTTAAAAATTCTATTCCAAAAAAAATGTTAAATTCAGATATAAACCTAAATATTGTATATCTCTCATAAACTGTAATTTTTGCAAGATTATAATGTCGTTTAAAAGATTTAGTAAAGCCTCTATCTCATAAAAAAAAAAACCTCTCAATTGAACACTCTATTAATTTGATGATTATCTTCCATTAAAACTCATTCTTAATTCGACAACTATCTTCCAAAGTATTATTGCAAGCCTTTGAAGAAAATCCACATTAAATAGCACAATAAGTAATAACCCAAAATGAAATTAAGTATCGAAGATTAAGACCTCTTAATTCCAATATATATGCATAAAAACATTCATAGGGATAGAGAGTACATGAGAAAATCCTAATGTCTAGAAAAAAACATTGTTATTTTCAAAGACATACCTAAACCAAAAACTCTAATTTAAGAGAAAATCATATTTCAAAAATCCATATTCTAAAATAAATGCTAAAGTTAGACAGACATAAACATTGTAAATCTCTCGTAGGCTATAATTTTTGCAATATCATGATGTGATTTAAAAGTTTTACCAAAATCTCTATCAAGGAAAGGGGCTTGGTCATGGTGGTAGCACCCCCATACCTAGTTACCACGTTGTTATTGACACCACCCACTAACACCTTAAAAAAAAGTTAATTCCCTAATCAATGAAAAAACGGGTAGGGGCATGTCTTCCCCACTGAGTTACTCCAAAAAAATAAAAATAAAAAAACCTCTATCTTATAGAAAAACCTTAAATTGACTACCTTTGTTAATCTCACAATTATCTTCTATTAAAAAATTACTTCTTACAGTAAAAATAAAAATTCTATAAAAAAGAGAAAAAGTACTTGATAATCACAAAAAGACTACATCTAATAAAATAATTTCTATCCCCCATCCCCCATTAAAAGACAAATCCTAAGTCATAGTTCTCTTGTAAAAATATTACATGTTATAATTAGAAATTTGTAACTGATAAACAAATATTAAAAATTACCTTATTGTATTAGTTTTGTCTTTCAAGTCTTCTTTCCAATCTCATTCAATTTGAATGATCTTTTTTGTTCAGCTTACTTTTGTAGATACCCCCTCGAAATTCTAGCTAAGGGAATTCCTAAAAACCTCAATTCTGAGCCTAAAAGACCACACAAACCTTAGTAGAATATGGACAACCTAGACCCAATATAATTTGCTTCAAAATTGCCCAAAACTATCTCAACTTGAAGTAGAGCCCAAGAGCTTTCCAATGGTCTAAGAATTGCTTGATTCAAACCTACGGATAAAAAGATCTAACAAATGATAATTTAGTTCCTGTGAGACCCAAGCATCAAGCCGCGGGCCGGGCTGTGATGCGGCCCAGCAGCGCCAAACGTGGCTGAATGATGTAGTAAACATATTTGATGATGTAGTAAAAATAATGCATTTTATGATGCAATAAAAATATTTTTTTAATTAGATAAAGCTAAAACTTCAAGATAAATCCAAGAAATTCCGAAAAATCAAGAAAAATCACCAATGAAATTCTATAAATACCCCCTCCATAACCTAAAAAGAAGAGTGAAAAAAAGAAGAAGAAATCCCTCATAAATTATCAAAATTAGAAAAATAGCCCAAAAATAACAAAAAATAGGAAAAATACTTATAAAATTCTCAAAAAATTAAGAAAAATCCCAAAAAATCAGAGAAAATCCCAGAATTTATATTCAACCTTTCAAGATCCCAAAAACCTTAAAAAACTAATGGAAAATTTTCTCCAATCCTAAAAATACCAAAAATAGCATAAGTAGACCCTATCTAAAATCCCCCGTGTTTTTTCAGTACCTTAGGACCCTAGATTTAGGTCAAAGAACATTCGATCTACCAATTCTAGCAAGCAAAAGGCATCCAAAAAATGAGATAGTGGTGGAAATCGGAGCGGCCTGATCCAAGCCCGAAACGTCGAATTTTGGGTCCCTATAGGTAAGTATATCTTTCTTTGCATGATTTAATTTGTTTATCTTCATTTAATTTTTGGATTTATTGTATTTTATGAAAATTAATTTATTATTAGATTTAATTAAATTTAGAAGCATTTTCTTTTAGGTCAAAATAAGAATTTAGAGTTTAGCGCTGTCAGTGGACTCAGAAAAAAGGCCGGATGTATAGATCTGGGATTTTTTCTGAATCCATAATTCAAGCGACCCCACTCTCTTTACCTTTTCAAAAGTAACTCAATTTTTGCTAAGATTTGAGTTGATCTCATCCTAGATTTCGACGCAGATCAGAGCGTAAACAATTTAGCGCCCAAAGTGGGGCACCTTGAGCTTCATATCCGTATTTTAGACTTAAAAAAACTTCTTCTTTTATGCTCCGATTTACACCGATCTCTGGTATGAGATTTGTTCAAATCTTAGCAAAAACTGAGTTACTTTTGAAAAAGGTAAAGAGAGTGGGGTCGCTTAAATTATGGGCTCAAAAAAAGTCTCAGATCTATACATCTAGACTTTTTTTTAGTCTACTAACAGTGCCAGCTCCAAATCCTTATTTTGACATAAAAAAATGCTTCTAAATTTCATTAAATATAATAATAAATTAATTTCTAGAAAAATAAAATAAAGTAGATAATTAAATGAATAAAAACAAATTAAATCAAGTAAATAAATATATACTTACCTCTAGGGACTTAAAACCCGAAGTTTCGAGCTTGGATCATGGTGCTCTTTCGATTTGTGCCATCATTTCCTTTTTTGGATTCTTTTTGCTTGCTGAAATTGGTAGATCTAAGGTTCTTTGACCTAGATATAGGGTTCCTAAGGCACGAGAAAAAATAGGGGATTTTAGATGGGGTCTACTTAGGCTTTTTTTGGTATTTTTTGAGATTGGATAAGAATTTTTTGAGATTCAATCTCCAAAGGTTGAATATGAATTTTGAGATTTTCTATGATTTGTTTTATGTTTTTTGGAGTTTTCCTATTTTTGTTAGGATTTTTCTAAGGTTTTTTCTATTTTTGGGTATTTTTGGGATATTCTTTTTTTTTTTAAGGAGGGGGTATTTATAGGACTTAATTGGAGATTGTTTTTTATTTTTTAGGAATTATTTTGGATTCATTTTTATTTATCTTAAAGTTTTGGCCTTATCTAATTAAAAAAAATGTCTTTACTATATCATAAAACGCATTAACTGTATTATAAAAGCCTTTATTACATCATCAAATGCATTTACCGTGTCATCAAGCTGAGTCTGAGCCTGCTAGGCCGCGTTACAGCCCGGCCCACTGCCCGATACTTGGGTCTCACAGGGATCAAATTGTTATTTGTTAGTTCTTTTTATCCATAGGTCCGATTCAAGCAATTATTTGACCGTTGAAAAGCTCTCGGGCTTTACTTCAAGTTGAGATAGTTTTGGATAATTTTTAAGTAATTATATTAGGTCTAGGTTGCCTATGGTCTACTAGGATTTGTGTGGTCCTTTAGGTTTAGAATTGAGGTTTTTAGGAGTTCCCTTAACCAAAATTTCGAGGAAGGTATCTACAGTTACCCATCTTTGGTATTCACTTGAGGTATCAGATAAATGACAAATAAGTAGACACCTGAGACACGGTGGCAAGGAAAACATTTTTTGATGGATCCTTCTTTTGAATGACTAGTACCCTTTGAGTAGGCGGTGCGCTGATGGATGCTTTTGATTTGTAAGATATTGAATTAGCACTGTTATCTTTGAGTCAGTACAGTTGAGAGGTATCCGCCAATCGGGATCCAAAGTGACAGTCAACAGGAACCGTGTTTTCTTTGAGCCGATGACACTCCTTATTGTAGTCACTCCAATGTTACCTAGGAAGCTGCCAGTGTAGTCATCTTCGACTTTAGACCTTTTTTTTTTGTCTGATTCTTCAATCAAATAAGATTTTGATTTAGAAGAAATGATGTGATGATGAATTTCTGGCTAATTGAACTTCTTGTTCGCATTCGATTATGATTCTTGGGATTCACAGGTTCAGGTTTTTTGGTATGGGAACCTATGGGTTGGTCTCTGTTTTCCTAAGGGTTTATAAGAATGGTAATTCTAGGATTTGATGGCGGCATACACATCATATCCAAACCTCTATGAAACTCCTTCGTTTTTTAAAACATTTTAGAAGGTTTTGAAGATAGATTGAATTTTGAAATAGAAACAGAGTTTTGGGCTACATTTTAACCATAGAAATTAAAGTTTTTTAAAACTCGCGAAACACATAGGAGAAATTTTGAAGGTAGATGAAAAATTTTGAAAAAAAAATTTTGGTAAGCAGTTAGG